CCAGCAGGTTAGGTTCACAGAGTAAGTTGCCATAGTAACTGACTCTGAGTTTAGATTACCTCTCTTTTTGAAACGGGTTTAACTTACCCCGCTTTCATGGGTTTAAGTTACCTCCGTTTCTGGAACCGAAAACTCAGAGTTTTCCTCATTTCGGGGTTAACAAACTCAGAGTTTCAACAAAACCTCCTTCTTGAAACGGGCCCCAGGCCAATAAATCTGATTCTGATTCTAAAAGTAAACAAAAACAAAACCATGATGACACGACTAAAGGTCTGGTGCTAATGTCCTGATTTTGTTTTAAATGGAAAAAAAAAAGATCACAGTGAAGTGTTTCACAAAAAATTAAAACACTGATTGGAGCCTGCCATTCCATAATACAGATTGAGTTAATCTGTGGTCATAGGAGAAACAGCTTTGGTGACAATTTACAATACAAAAATGACTATTTCTGTACCTCTGTTAGTGAATGTGAAGTAGGTCAAGGTTAAAGTGTTTATTTGTCATATCCCTGTACAATGAAATTCTCACTTTGCCATCCGCATGAGTGCCACATAAAACAGATGAAATATAAAACGAAATATAAAGTAGATGAGCTATAACATTTAAATAGGCAGTAAAATCACAAATCTAAGGCACTTTAAAGCAGCAAGTGAAGGAAGCAAATAAAAATACAACAAGAACACAATATAATGCAGAGAGAATATATGCTACGTGGGAGCCGTGAAGTGCAAATACTCAACAATGAGTATGCAACTATGCATGTGCAAAATGAGTGTGTAAACAGTACAGATAGAGTTACATGAGGTAGATCCTGACTCATCTGTTGAGGAGTATGATGGGAGTTGGAAAGAAAGAGTTTTTCAGTCTAGAAGTCCTGCATTTCACACTTCTGAGCCTCCGACGGGAGGGCAGGGGTAAAATAAAAAATACACTAAACAAAATAAAACAAACAAGACAGGCTGTGCAAAATTGTTCATGTTCATCAGCATCTTTATGATAGGGCAAATGCAGGCCTGTTGTTTTTCCTTTACCAGCAACAGTTTAACAGAAGCAAAAGAATTTGTTCCTCTTTGGCAACCATTTTTGTTTCTGCTGGATAAATCACGTGACCTGATTAAGACCATGAGCCGGTGACTTTTGCTCCCTTTGGGAGGTGTATCACATCTACCAAGCTGGGGAGGCAACAGTGGTGCGGTGGTAGAGCAGTCGTCTCCCAACCAGAAGGTTGAAGATTTGAATCTCGGTGCCGGCAGTCCACGTGTCAAAGTGTCCTTGGGCAAGACAATGAACCCCCCATTGCTCCCGATGGTTAGAGCCGTCGGTTGAGGTGGCGCCGCAGATGGCTGCCATCGCTTCTATACCAGAAACAAATTCCTTGTGTGTAACATACTTGGCCAATAAAGGTGATTATCCTTATCCCAGCCTCCTCAGGAAGTACAGCTGCCATTGGACCTGCTTGACCAGCTGTTTGGTGTTAAGTGTCCAAGTGAGGTCCTCACTGATGTGGACGCCCAAGTATTTGAAGCTGCTCACCCCTTCAAGCCCCCGGAAGAACAGTGTCCGATGAGATCTCCTCTCCTTCCTCACGTCCACTATCATCTCCTTCATCTTGTCCATGTTCAGGCTAAGATTACTGTCCTTGCACCATGACACCAGACCAGCCACCTCCCTCCTGTAGGCTGCTTCGTCCCTGCCAGTGATGCAACCAATCACCTATCCGCAAACTTTAGGATGATGTTGTCTTTGTGGGAGGTGACAGTCTGGGGTGAACAGGGTTCCAATCCTGACAGTCTGGGGCCTGCCAGTCAGAAAGTCCAGGAGCCAGTCACAGAGGGTGGGGTGCAGACCCAGTGTGGACAGTTTGTGCGTGAGTTTGTGGGGGATAACTGTGCTGAAGGCAGAGTGGTAGTCAATGAAGAGTATCCTGATGTAGGAGAGTTTGCTGAGAGTCGCAGAGGCAGAAAGGGAATAGTGGAGGGCAGCCGTGATAGCATCTGAGGTGGCCCTATTGGGCCAGTAGGCATACTGCAGGGAATCCAGAGTGTCTAGTATACTGCTCTGGATGTGGGCTAGCATCACTCTCTCAAAACATGTCATAATGATTGGGGTGAGTGTCACTGGCCTGTAGTCGTTCAGGCGGGTGACCGGGCTTTTCTTGGGAAGGGGGACGATGGTTGTGGTCTTAAAGCAGGTGGGAACGATGCTCTGGCTGAGGGAGAGATTGAAGATGGTGGTGAGAACATCAGCCAGCTCGCTGGCACATGCGCTGAGAGCCCTCCCAGGGATGTTTCCCAGTCCTGCTGCTTTGCAGGGGTCGATCTTCCTCAGGACTTTGTGTACCTGGTCTGGTGAGACAGTTAGTGGAGGGGAGGTGGGGGGTTGGGCGGTCCAGGTGTGTGCATGCTTCCTCTCTGTGCTGTAGCAGGAGGTCTCAAAGTGGGTGTAGAAGGTGTTGAGATCATCCGGCAGACTGTCTGTGGAGCTAATGATGCTGGTGGTGGTCCTTTAGTCTGTGATGTTCTACAGGCCTAGTCACATTCGTCCGGAGTCAGCAGTAGAATAGAAGCCATTCAGCTTCTCTCTGTACTGCCTCTTGGCCGCTGTGATGGCTTTCCTCAGTCTGTTGCCTGATCAAAATGCATGAGAGCAAGCATACAGCATGTGGCATACCTAACTGTTTATCCAGGGTTTCCGGTTAGGAAACCTCCTGACCTGTATGGTGGGCTTGATGTTGTCAATACAGGTACTAATGTACCCGGTCACATACTCAGCATAGTCCTGTACGCTGACAGAAAAGTCAATAGAGGTAGCTGCAGCTTTAAACACATCCCAGTCTGTCTGGGCAAAACAGTCCTGCAGGGTGCCTTCAGTCTCTGGGGTCCAGAGTTTTGTTTGGTGACAGGGTTTGTTTGTTTCAGTCTTTGTCTGTAACCTGGATACAGGAACAAAGAAATGTGGTCGAGCGTCCGAGGTGGGGGCGGGGTGCAGCCCTGTATGCACCACGTATGTTACTGTAAACATGATCCAGAGTGTTCTTGCCCCAGGTGGGAATGTTCACATGTTGGTAATATTTGGGAAGTACAGTTCTTAAATTGCACTGGTTAAAGTCGCCTGCAGCAATAAATATAGCGTCGGGGTGTGCTGTCTCTAGCGCGTTGATGGCATCACAGAGTTTGCTGAGAGTCGCAGAGGCATTAGCTCTTGGGCTAACATACGCAGCAGCCAGAAACACAGCACTATGCTCTCTTGCTAGATAATAGGGCCAGCATTTCAGCAATAAAAACTCCACTTCTGGCGAACAGTGCTTATAAACAGTCCGAACATCTCCACACCACGAGTTATTGATAAACACACACCGCCTCTTTTTACCTTTCCTGAAGCAGCAGTGCAGTCTCCCCGATGTACAGAGTCGGTCTGTAGCTTAATCACAGACTCTGGGATTTTGTCAGAAAGCCAAGTCTCGGTGAGAATTTGAGCACAGCATTCTCTGATTTCCCGTTGCATTGTAATCCTAGCTCTTAACTCATCCAATTTGTTTTCCAGAGACTGTATGTTAGCTAGGAAGAGGCCGGGTAGTGGCGGTCAGGTATTGTGAGCTTTTAGCCTAGCATGGAGCCCTCCTCTCTTGCCCTGACTGTGTCTCCGGATCACTGTCCTGGGGTCAGCCTGCTTGCTCGTGCCTGGTGTTTCGGGAGCCCCCCGGGGGTGATGGTGGTTGTTGTTGTTGTTGTTGCGAACAATGAGTTGTAGCTCTGGTGGTATGAAACCGGTAAATTCCTAGTGGCTGTGTGAGGCAGCGATATCTATCAATATCAATATCTAGCAATGCCTGTCTGTTGTATGTTAGCAGTGCATGACATTTGTGCACTGCAGAAAGAGTAAAAAAACACACAAAAAAAGAAAAAAATATAGAAAAAGCCGGCATTCGGAAGTGTCACACTCAAACACGTCTGCCTCGAGGGGCACCATGATAAGAGAGCAAATCGTTTTTGCTTTATGATATGCAACCTGGAAATAATCTGTCCTGGAATGAATAGCAGTGCAAAACTCTTAAGAATCTATCAGTTTGCATGTGAAAGAAACAGCAACAATTGAGAAAGAAAGAAAACAGCTGTTCTCCTCCCAAGTAACACAATAGTTAGTCACTGGGTTTTGGCAAAGTTTTGTCATGTGCTTCCTAAACTGATATAACTAACATTTCTACATTGCAGCTCAGCCACTGATGTGATTGTATGCGCCACATACTTAGGCTTGGCCCTCCTAATACTCTTGTGAGTGTGATCAAACCAGCTGATAAAATATGAGTTAAAATAATCATAGGCCTTATGATTTGTAGAACATATTTCATTTTAAAACAACCAGCAGGTCTCAAAGGTTTCTTTAGATCCTGGCATTTAGTGTCTGCCTTCTGACGTAGCCTTACTCTCCTCTGCACTGCGTGGGAACTCTACTCAGGTATGTGTGGTTGGTGAAGAGGGACATACGCATTATATTCATAGTCAACCACACCCTGCACACCACATTTGTCATGACCAAAAACAAACCTGTTCTCTTCTGAAAAGAGATGAGCTGACAACGTTCACACTAACATAAAAAACAACAATGTATGAGGGATTATTCTCTTATTCTGTCTCATGGGTCTCTTTCTCTTTAGTCAAGCAGGCCACAGTACTGTTGAAAGCACTGGCCTGATATTTACTGCTTTCAAAAGATGAAAATACTGAACAGTAACAAAAAAAAACAATTCACACATTTGGATAAACCAGTTCCATCTGATTCAACAAGAAATGGTTACCTGACTCACAATAGTAAAAGAATCAGGAATATTATACATTGCAACACATATTTATAAAAATAGGTACTCACAAAATGCGTCTGTAGTTCTGCTCCTGGTATACCTGGTTAGTGACGTATTTGATGAAGACGCTGAAATGTTCTGCAGCATGGTAATAAACAATGTCACACACATCAGAAATCAAAATAGACTTCTCAATTCGATGCTCAAGATCCATCAAGAACCTGAAAACACAAAGAAACCATCATTCAGGGATTTCAAGCTTGTTTGCTGTGCTGCAACTTTGCATTTGATGTATGATCACACTTTAATTATGAACTGATTTGTGTTACTCAAGACCCTGTCCTACCTTTCACTGGTTTTCATGACTTCCTCGATGTTGGAGAAGAGAAAATGCATGTCGGACTGGCTGAGAGTGTTGGTTAAACCAGGGTTTCGTAGGAAGTGAGTCTCTAAAACTTCCATGCTCTTATAGTAGGATGCCTCTGAGGTAACAAGCTCAAACATGGTCTAAACAGAAAAGCAAATCATAAAGCTACATTAATACTGACTGGGGATCCTTACATTCACTGAGCAGTTGATGTGCTGTAGTTCTGTTGAAATGTGTTATCCTGCTGCCACAGCCTTTTCTTTTCTTTTTTTTTTTTTTGTTTTGATTTGATTTGATTTG